CTGATAGCCTTGCCACTGAGCTACTGGAAAAGCAAAAGTAACTCTCACAAAAATAGATCTTCAAAAACAGAGGGAGCTCATTCATTAATAACAAAATGTTGAAAAAATACAACTTCTGTTACTTAAGGGAAGCAGTAAATAAACACAACATATACATTTCGGACTTAAGTGAAAGTTGCTTTTCGTCTGACTCACAGGAAAACAAAAACGTAGTTTAAACTGAAGAGATCTTTCCAACTTTATAATAGAAGCAGTTCGCTGAAGCTGTAGCAATATAGATGAGAATAATTCCAGTAGTTTTAATAATAGTCTGTTATTTGCATTCAAACATTTGGCAAACAGAGGTGCAAACAAACAATAGAATCAATCTTGAACTGACTTTATTTCTAATCTGTCTGTGCATCTTCGTTGTTTCCAGTTTTGTGTTTTATTTCATCGTTTTATTATTTCTCTGATTTAACTAACAGCCGATTTTGTTTTGCATTTTCCTTTTATTTTATCCTTATTACATCATGTGATGAATATATTTCTCTGTTGTTCACTTTCCATGTTGATTATTTGTTGAGATAAAAACTTGCTGATTTAGATAAGGAATCATTTGAAGACCCAGTTATATGAGAAATGCCCTATTCATGCAGCTGAGTATTTTCCCTATTCTCCTTTCAGGTTGTAGTGACTGTAGCTTTAGAAACATTCTGTTGTAATTATCTAAATAATCTGTTAAAATAATAATAAATTATCTGTGGTGTAGCCAAAAGCTTCCATACTTGGTCTGATCTTTTCTATCTCTTGTCTCCTGCTAAACAACATTTGGAAACATTTCTTAAAACCATTATCTGGGTGATACAGATATCTAGCTCCTCCTGGAGGCGTATCAATACAGCACACTAACTAACCTCAAGCTCTGGTTTCAAGACAGCAAATCCTGAATGGCTGCAAACTTAAAATCTGACTTTTCTTTGGACTAGTGGAACAGACAAACAATTATTTCTGCCAAGCATGGCCCTCATGGCTTCCTCTGTTAAAGTACAAGCAGAAACTTTTGTAATCAGTGTGAATGTATTCATAATTGATGATTTGCTCTTTGTATCTGATGTCACAACCCAACTCAAGGCTAGGCAAAGTGGGGGAGGCCACACATGAGTATAACCTAAAAATAAGTTTATTTAAAGAAATGCACACTAAATGAAAAATTTAGTAATCAACTAAAACCGAATTCTGTGGAAGTCATGGGGGAGAGGGGGACTGGCTGAAGGTCACCAGCGTATTTACTGCAGCCAGACAAGTGGAGGTGAATCTCCCAACAGGCTCCTGCAGAGAGGCCGGCTTTGAGAAGGTCATCACACTGACCTGGAGAAAAAAAACCTCTTCCCTTATCATAGCATCCCACCTTAAAGACTGCAATTCTTTACATATTCAAAACAGTTCTTCTTGTTTATCTTAACTCCAACTGGTAAGATATGCAACAATAAGAGCAAAAAGAGGAAGCACAATTCTCCCATTACTGCCTCCACACACATGTATGCTTTCTCAAAAGAAGAAATGGCAAATATGTAACATCTGTCTCAAGTTGGGTTCATGTAGAGCTGGGGG